TTAAGACACAGAATGAGCATGAATAAATCTTTATTATCTGTTCTTATAACACTGCCAGTACTATGCAACAGCAGCACATAACTTCTAATAAAAAAAACAATGTGGTGTTAATTGTTGAATAAATGTTGTCACTTGAATAAAAATCATGTCTCATAAAATTAAAAAAATCAGTCACTTGGTCTGTTTACAGATGTTATATGGCTACTAACGGACTGAACCTTTATTTAAATCTGGCCTGGACAATACAGGATATCGAACTGTTGTGTTTTTTTTTTGAAGAGGGTTAAAAGTTGCACAAGATATCAGTTTTCATCATTATCATTTGTCAGTTCATTAAAAACACTTCAACAACAATAAACTACTTCTGCTCCCAGCATTACTTCTAGTATGACCATTGAACTGAAACCTCTTAGAAATCAATCACTTAACAGGAGGTTGAGATCAAATCATGTTTACATTACTAATATCAAATGGAAATCTTGAGCGCCTCTCACTACTTCTTTCCAGTTGAATGGAACAGAAACAATTAGAATAAAAACTCACACTAGATGTCAGAGTTGTGCTCCAGCATTAACAGATGCTGGTCTACAATATAAGGACAGGAAGACAGCAGGAAGAAGTGTTATCCCATAAAATGCAGAGCTTCAGTTATTAAATAGGTCAAATGTTTAGTCAAATAGAAAAGGCTGATGCAAGTCTGCTTTCATTTGTGCTGTGAAACATGCCAAAGTGCATGCAGGGTGAGAACAAAGTTTATTATAAATATGACTGCCATAAAAAAGGGGGGAGAAATAATAAAACATAAATTGTCTAATTTTTTACACAGTCCTTCTAATCTTTGCTTAATATTTTGTAAGCCACACTTTTAGGTCTCTGAAGAAACCACAGCATCAACACCTCACCTTAACTGATAAGGTAACTTTGTGCAATCTTTAGCAATGCAAAACAACAGCTCTGTAAACCCTGATGAATGTACCAGTTCAATGACGTTACTGCCCTGTATTAACCTGTAACACATACACTGACGTATACGGTTTGCTGTCTGATATGATTTTATATCAGAACTTTTTTTTTTTAACATAAAGCAGATAAAGGTGTTCAGAGTCATTTAGAGTTTAGTAAGTTTAGGAGTTGTTTCCTCTCCACTATCAGCACTGTTTGCAGCACCTGTAGCAGAGTAGCATTACAGTACAGTAGGTCATGGTGACTCAGAAGTGTCTTAGGAGTAATAAGCTTTTGTAAGGCGTTACTAGAAAGTTTTGAATGAAATACCCCAAATGACCCTTTTCAGCATCATAAACGAGCTGTACGTATACACTTTTTGCTACATTTAGGAAGTCACTTTTATTTTATTTTGAGTTACTGAATGTGATCTATTTAACTGAATTCTTTTCAGCTTTCTACTGTATTGTTGTTCTTTTATTGTATTTAGGGGATTGACAGAACTAGAAATGAGTACATCAAAGGTTAAGAGGTTTGGAGACAAAGTTAGAAAGGTAATGCTGAGAGGGTTTGGACATGTAGAGCAGGGACCGTGGAGAAAGGATGATGATGATGGAGCTGAAAGGTAAGTGGAAAAAGAAAAACCCAGAGAAGTTTTATGGATGGACAGGGAGATTGTTGGTGTGACCCTAAAGCAGGGGTAAGGAACTCCAGGCCTCAAGAGCCGGTGTCCTGCAGGTTTTAAATTTGTCCTTGATCCAACACTGCTGATTAAATGGCTAAATGAGCTCCTCAACATGTCTTGAAGTTCTCCAGAGGCCTGGTAATGAACTAATCATTTTCAGATTCAGGTGTGGTGACCCAGGGTGAGATCTAAAACCTGCAGGACACCGGCTCTCTCCCTACCCCTGAACTAGAGGCTAAGAATGTGGAGGATGATGTGCTGTGGTAACCCCCGAAAGTGAACACCCAAAAGAAGGAGAAATATTAATAATTTTACCTGTTGAGCTAAATTGAGCTCATTTGTTTTCTCTTTAATTGGGCTATTTTGTTGAGCTAAATTAATTCATTCAAGCTATTTTGTCACAGGTGTTTTACTGTTTTGGCTCCAGCAGCTGTCAGTATCAGTTATCTTGTAAATTATTTCGGCTCTAAAAAAATCTACTTTCATGTGTAGATTATGTTGAAGAATATCAGAAATGTGCGATTGTGTTTATTATAGAGCTCATCATGATAAAAATGTTCTCGTCCATCATATTACAATACAAAAGAATTCATATATTAAGCAAACCCTCAATATTTTAGACAGAAAGTAGGCTTTACATTCAGAGAGTTGAACTGAATCAAATTAAGATTGGACAGGTGTACCTAATAAAGTGACCACAAAGAAAACGCAATCTCTCATGAAGGTAGATGCTGGCTTCACTTCATGAGATCACAACCCACAAAGATTAGAAACTACCGACTTAAGTCTTATAATTATTTCCCTCTTACGTACAAACACCATCAAAAGAAATCTGCAGTGGTTAGTGACAAAGACAGATATAAAACTAAAGTAAAATTCATGTTTTAAAGACTTTTCAGTCTTAACAGTCTAAAAATGAAAAAAAGAGACTTGCAAGTAAGTATGCAGAGGTCCTGACACAACTCAGAACCAAATGTTCACCAACACTTAAAATGAACAGAGAATAACAATAATAAAAATAAAAAAATAATGCGTTTTCTAATTTGAGACTTAAACAACGCCAACTATTCATCCTAAAGGCATCTGATGGAGGGTAAAGAGAGTTAAAGCACTTTAAAGAAAATCAAACAGTAAATACAGTCATGGGTGTTTTTCACTTTACATAATTTCACTGATTAAGAGACAATTTGTGTTAAATGGTTCATTTATCCAGCTCTATGGGAGTGCAGAAGAAATGAGAGAAACAAGAACTAAACACATTTATACATTCAAAATAAATTTGTAAAGAAATATGCACATTTATAGGAAAACATCACAGAACTGACTGACGTGACAATTTCCCACTGTAGGAGATACAAAACACAGAGTACGTAAACATTAGGCTACATGCTGTCGGTTAAATAAGAGTGAATATCCTTCATGTTACATGACAGTTAGCTTCCATTCATCACACCCCAGTCAGCTGCATTTATGTCAGTGGAGGAGAGCTGGGAGGATGCATGCACTCTGACTGAAGGTCTGCACAACATAATCAAATGTGACATAAAAATGTGAAATAAAGAAGAGACAAAATAGTTGTTTTTAACATTTACTGATGTTTTTCTTTTTTTTTGGTATAGGTGACCATACACTGTGTTGCTGGGAGCGGCCAGCCCAGGTTTGAATCCGACCTCTTTCTCTCCCTCCACTTTCCTGTCACTCTTCACTGCACTTATCTAATAAAGCCAATAAAGCAACACACACATAACTTGAGTTAAGATTATTTTTAACTGCTGACGTTGAACCAGATTTTGGCAAATAAAGGATTCCTACATTTCAACAAAAATAAAAGAACAAAAAATCACGCCATGTCACTCACGGGTTAATTTCTACGCAAACAAATTAAACTATGTTTGTTTCTGTTTCTTGGTACATAACAAATTTTCTAAGGTTTCCGACTTCACAGGTTACAGCAAATAATCCTACACGAACAGAGCTTTAATTAACCGGGGGTACATCCTGTAGCTACCTCCACTAAGGAGGCTGTGCTTGGTTAATTTGTCAGTTTGTTCACAGGATTAAGGAAAATGTTACTGATTTTATGCGCATGAAATCTTTACCAGAGGTTTAGAAGTGATTATAGCGAAAAACTGGACGTTTTGTGCCATATATTCACTAATATCAAAAGAAAAATAAGAAAATAAATGTTTAATATGGCCTTCAAGTTCTCAAGAAATTATCAGAACATTATCAGGATCAAGAGATTCAGTTTAGGAGGGAATTTCCAGCTGTGTTGGTGATACGTGGTTTCAGACTGCTCATTATATTCTGTAACTGATGGATATGAGTTGCAGTCATACAATGGACACGATTACTTGCCTAAGCTGTTTTGCACTTAATAAGAACAGTACTGATGTTTCCAGTACACTTTAGGAAATAAAGTGTTGGTTGATACAATGTTATTTTCATTTCTTTCCTTTTACATTAGATTTGCTTCAATGCTACTTATATGTCACATGTACATGCCCAAAAGTCTGTAAACTGGCAGCAGGTTTCACTTAAGAATGGCAACTAAATACAAAATTATATAAAAAAAATCTGAAATGAAAACAACATCAGACAGACAGAAGAATCCAAGCCAGTGAACAGTGATCCTGTCATTTCCAACATTACTTCACCAAGGATGGTGATCAGTCATAATTAAAAGTGATGAGTAGTATGAAGTCATACTAATCATACTCGAGAGGCACAGAATGTCTTCAGAGAGTGTGACTAGACAAGTACAAGTAAACACTCCACCTGGCAGTCTCTGTTCAGGTTAACCTCTGTCAGTGCGCCCCAGGGCAGCTGTGGCTACAATGTAGCCATCACCAGTGTGTGAATGTGTGTGTGAATGGATGGATGACTGAATGTAGTGTAAAGCGCTTTGGGGTCCATAGGGACTGAGTAAAGCGCGATACAAATACAGGCCATTTACCATTTAAATCAAAACATGAAAGACAAGAAGAGTTTTATGAAACCTTTTAAAACAATTAAGACAATTAAAGTTGGTGGAAACAATCTGTTACAGATAAACACGATAAACTACATTTCTCAAGGTTATACAACGACAACCATTTCAAGACAGAAACAGCCTCTGGACACGAGCAGTCTGAGCTTTCCACGCTCACAGCTTGAGAGCTTGTCTTCAAGGCATCCACCGTCACTTCCGAAAGGTTAGTGGATTTAATTGTCTCAGCTGCCGTCTCACAGGTTTGTCTTGTGGAAAACTTATGCAGACGTTTTTCTCGCTTCACCGTTTTTTCTCTACTTCCATTCAAATCAGCTGCAGACATTTGAAATGTGAAGGAAAGTGTGTTTTTTTAGGTCTTTTTAAATGTTTCTCTGTCGCTTTCCAGCCTCAGCGAAGGCCCATGATGCCCGGTCGTTTCAGGCTCCACTGGTCAATCTGTCTCTGCCGCTCCTGCTGCTCGACCTCCGATTCGCTCGATGAGCTGCCGGTATTGCTGCTGCTACTGCTACTGCTGCTGCTGCGCCCACAACCTCCGCCTCTGCTGCTACCGCCGAAAGTGAAGCAGTCCTTCTGCTTCCTATCAGCCTTCCCCCTCTCCCCTACATCTACTCCTTTTTCCTCCTTCCCTCTCCTTGTATCCTTCACCATCCCACCACTGTCCTCCTCAGGTTTGTCAGCCATTTCCATTTCGATCGGGGCCTGCTCCGGCCCCAGCACGGCTCCTCTGTGGTCCATATCGACCCACACTGGCCCCGGAGGAGGCTCCAAACTGGTGTACTGGAGCATCGGCTGTTGGGGCTGGGGGTCCACTTGTGGAGGAAGGTTCTGCCTCTCTGGATGGAGGTACTGAGTTTGGTGTTGGAGGTGATGCAGCGGCTGAAGTGGGTGCTGCAGAGGCTGGTGCTGGAGCTGGTGGTGCTGCTGCTGCTGATGATGGTGGTGATGTGAGTGTTGTTGATGGTGCTGCTGCTGATGATGATGAGGATGATGCTGCAGGTGATGATGGTGGTACTGATCAACAGTCTGCTTATCCACATTACGGACGACCTCTTTGGGCTGGTTTTTAAGGAACTTCTCAAACTTCTTGGAGGCTTTTTTGTTCGTCACAAACCAATCCTGTTGAGATACACGCAACACGAAGAGGTGCTATTATATAACATACACTAAACTTACATTATTTATTATTTATTGCATTATAGGCCAGAAGGGGGCAGCTCGTCTGTTTGCAAAAAGAAATCTGATTCTGCTGTTGTAAGTCTGAGACATCACTTTATTCATGACTTTAGTAAAAACTTTCCTGATGAGTTTAAACAACCACACTATGGAGCTGCTCATATCCAACCCCTGATATAGAGTATATGCATTCATGGCAATGTCATCTACATATAGTTACAGAAAAAAGGCTCAAGCCAGAAACTTGTGAACTTTTCATTACCTGTGAATGGACAGAGTTGATGTGGTATTTCACTCCACTTTCAGAGTTAAACTCTTTATTGCAGATCAGACATCTGTATTTACCGGCCTCAAAGTCGCCCTGGAATCAGATCAGGAAAAAGCAGCCTTGAAAAGATTATAAGAATTTAATGCAAATAAAGTATTAACTGCGCATAGTGCACTGACTTTTATATTTCACTTAATGGTCTGAGTAACTGACTGAATAATTTTACAAATACACACATTTTCAAAATTCTGTTCAAAGCAGCTTTTACAAACTTCATTCTTTAATTTACAGGAATCATCCCAAAAAATTGAGGAGCTGACTAAAAGCAGATGTAAATGCCGGTCCAGATGAAGCATTAGAAGGGTTTCATGCTAATACATTGATGAGTTTCAACTTAATTATACCTGGTGTCATTTAATGTATTGCTAATCCTAGAAAGTTTGTAAGTTTGTTATTTCCTAAACAAAGAAAAAAAGAGACAAACCCTCGTGCAGAGTCCCAGATGAGCTTTGAGTCCAGACACACTCGTGTAGGTGCAACCGCAACCCTGACGACGACACACATTATGTTATATTATGGGCTTTGAATACTGTGTTAACCATGTTATGGACATCTGCTCCCCTTGACATCATACACATCCACAGGGATTACTTGTACATACACTGACCTCTCTATTTGAAACTTCGGCCATGTTTACTATGAATGTTCACCAATGCAACAGTGTATATATGACATAAAATAATATAAAATATCTCTATATATCTCTTTAAAAACATACATTTACAAAGAGAAACATTTCAGGTTATTGAAAAAATAATAATAATAATGGATTTCATTTATATAGCGCTTTTCTAGGCACCCAAAGCGCTTTACAATTCCACTATTCATTCACTCTCACATTCACACACTGGTGGAGGCAGCTACAGTTGTAGCCACAGCTGCCCTGGGGCAGACTGACAGAAGCGAGGCTGCCATATCGCGCCATCGGCCCATCACCAGTAGGCGGTAGGTGAAGTGTCTTGCCCAAGGACACAACGACCAAGACAGACAGAGCTGGGGATCGAACCGGCCCCCCCCCCCCCCCAAACCCCCCCCCACAGCTGCCCTGGGGCAGACTGACAGAAGCGAGGCAGCCATATCGCTCCATCGGCCAACAAACACCAGTAGGCAGTAGGGTGAAGTGTCTTGCCCAAGGACACAACAACCAGGCCAGACAGAGCTGGGGATCGAACCGGCAAAGTTATGCTAATTACACTTGTTCTTGACATCTTGATCCAATTACTCAGATAAGAAAATAAATAAGTCTGCTGATTTCTCTTAAACAGGTAAAAATAAGACTTGTTGTTTTCTACCTGGTTGGGGCACTGGACTTTCCTCTGCAGCTTCACCTCATTCTTCCACTTCCTCAGCACCTCCTGGCTGAAAGCAGGGAGGCCGGGTCGGGCATATTTCAACTGAAAAGAGCGTCAGGAGAAAGAAGAAACGTATTTATGTTCAGTACATACTCAATTTTAGTGAATCTTCTCTTACCTTCTTGTCATCTGGTACCAGGTCGGACTGAAACTTCCTCTTGGGCCAGTCTTTGGGCAGTTCATTGTTGGCAATCTCAGCCAGGTGGAAGTTGGCCACCTGGGCCGAGGCTCTCTGCACCCTGCCGCTGGGCGTCCTCTCTGGATTAGCCTCCCTCTGAGCCTTCAGTGCCTCATCTTCCTCAGTCTTCTGTGGGGTCTGGATGAACCAAGAGAATAAACTTAATGGAGATGAGGCACAAAGAGTTTCACAGACACTCGAATTAAAAGGACAGGTGACAAAACAAGGCTGGCATCTTGTCTAATTGTCTATTAATTTAAATTTGAATGAAGAGTATTAACGAATTACAATTTTTATAGTATTTAGTGGCTTCGATGACATATATGACTCACAGGAGCATGCTCTGATTTCAGGTGATACTCCAGACCAGCCTTGGATTTATACGTCTTCCCGCAGTGAGAGCAGTTCAGCAGCATTTTCTCCAGCTCGGACTCCTCCTTTCCACACTTCTTCATGTGATACACGTAGCCCATGATGCTGGTAAATGCAGCGTTACAACCCTATAAAGAAAAAAAACCACATTTTTTCACACCACCAGTTTAATCTTTTATCTTTCATCAAATCTCCTTTCTTAAAACAGCACAATACATGCAAATTTTACCTCTTTGGAACATTTTAATTTGCCCAGTCTCTTCAGGATTTTACGTAGCTTGTCTTTTATAGCACGATCATCCAGGTCCTTGGTATCATCAGCTGAAGGCTACAAAAGCAGGAAAAGGTAGCAACAAACTCAGTAAAACCATAATAAACTAAATTAAACTAAGACTGAAAATGCTTATTTCTGAGTAGTCTTACCAAGTGGCTGTGGTCAGCCATGATGTGATACTTCATCCCTGTTGAAGACTTGAGCTGTTTCCCACAGTGTTGGCAGGTAAAAGGTTGCTACAGATAACAGAGTGACACAGTACTTTTTCATTTGGTAAACATTTACACCAGCAAAGAACACAAGCAGATTTTATGTTATGGAAATATTAGTCAGACTAGGTTTTCCCAGTGCAAATGTAAAGCACAAACCACACTACAGACCCATTCATTTTTTAAAAACTTGATGCCTAATATGAAGAGTGTGTGAACTGGTTTCAGTGCAGAATGTGTTTCATAGAAAATTGACATCCTGGAAAAAATTATAAAAAAACACACAAAACATAATTTATTTACTCCAATTATTCCAAATAATGTCATTACTAGTAATAACTAATTATTAGAGTCTTCCAGGAGAAACAGTAAAGCAGAAGGCTCCTGCTAGATGGTCCAAAACTCTAATATCACTATTATGCATGAAGGGCTCACCAGTCGGCAGTTCTCCATGTGTTTCTTCAGCCCCTCCACAGTCTTCCTGCTCACACTTTTACACTTTGGACAGGTGACTCTTCCTTTGGCAACAATCTGGAGCTGCCAGCGTTCCTCTTGGCTTCCTAGTTGATGTCAACAAATAGGCAACTTTTCCTTTTTTTTTAACTTTACACGACGCACAGAGCATCACAAAAAGAAGCAGCTTACTCCTTACCTATTTTAATATACAATAATATTTTGATTAAATTACAGATTATCTTCAGCACCCACTTTTAATCATTCAAATTTAATATAAGTTTTAGCAACAACTTTTTCAATTTCTTACAATCAGTTTAAATCAAGATAAAATACACCCCCCCCCCCCCCCCCAGAATCCCCTTTAAAACTCATACTTGTGTGAAGCAAGAAAAATGCAGTCAGATAAAGCCTATTGACAGTTTCAATCAAAGAAGTGCACATAAAACATAGTGTAATAAGATTACTTTCTATTAAAACACATAAATCTGTGGTAAACAGCTGCTGCTCTGACCTGGAGGATAAGTAGGAGGTTCCTTCTTAGCCGGCAGGATTGAAGGTTTCTGGTCTTCGTTCGGCTGAGCTGTTGAGGCCTGACCAGCACTGGCAGCATCTGAACCTGCAAGAGTCACACTGAATGACTGGATGCAATCAAGCTTATTTTTCTTTTTATACTATTTTATCATAATTATTATTTAATAAGGTCAAATTTCCTTATTGATTAGATGCAGAGACTGCTGCCAAAGGTTGTCATCTCTCCATTAGCAGCATGTAGAATTTTATATTAAATTACTTTAGAAATAAAAGATAAAAGATACACAGATATATATACAAGTATATACAATGTTTTCTTTTCAATGCATGAATGCTTGTTGGTTGTTGAATTATGATTACAGCATTCCTGCTACAGAAAGCCTGGCTCTTAGAGAAACCTCACGATAAGTTACAATGAGGGGAAAATGCTTCTCTGTAATGATTCTCTGATCAAACAGTGAAACAGTCATTGGCTATGGTGTGCCAGACGCTCTGCCAAAACAAATTAGTGGCTGATAGTACTGCTGCCAAGACTGAAAGGAAGGTGGTGTACTTGAGAAAACGGCCTCATATTGTTTTCCCATAATGGTTAGGGACAAACTGTGAAACAACTTTTCAAATTCCTGATTTATGTCTAACTATAGTTCTGATTTATAAAGTTACTTCAGTCCTAAGTATTATTAATATGGAAATAATATTCAGTTTAAGACAAAAAAGCAGCATGAAACAGATATGTGAGATAGAAATGTAACATATAGAGTTTTCAGTTTTGCATTAAATGCAGACTCCTTGAAAACTTACAGGATTCTCTGCCCTCTGGTGGCTGTGTGAAGTTATTGGGTGCGGGGCTTGGCTCCATCTCTGGCCTCTGGACCTTTTTCATGTTCAAGTCTTAAAAATTAGACAAAATCAAAAATCATAACCTAAATGATGACATCTACTCTGCACATATATCGCCTGCACTTCTCTTATAAGCTGTCACTCGCACATGTGTTATAGGTTCTGGTTTTCGCTTGTAGCTTGCAGATATCATGAAAGAAGCTCATATTATTTTACGACATTTCACAGTGTTCAAAACAAAATCAGTCCATATGGTCATTTTTACCAGGTCTCCACACGTTCCCTCTATCCCTGTTTGTGTTGTTCCAGGTTTGATCTGGGCCTCGGCCAGTACCCCACCCTTGTTCCGGCCCTGACGAGTCCCGGTCCCTTCCTGGATCTCTGCCTCCATTCCAGGCCTGATCCTGTCCTTGATCTCTGCTAGCTGCCCAGCCCTGATCAGGACCCCGCTCCCGGCCTGTCATCCAGGACTGATCCAGCCCACACTGAGTTCTGTCCCTGCCTGGAATCCATATCTGGTCCTGACTGGAGTGTCCCCCTCTGTCTCTGCCAGAGTTCCACACCTGGTCCTGGGGTCGGTCTCTGCCTGGAGCCCAGGCGTCAGGTCCTTGCTCCCTGCTGGAGTTCCAGCTCTGATCATGAGGCTGGGACTGCTCCCCGCTAGCTTCTGGGCCTTGAGGCCAAACATCCTTCGCGACCAGTCTTGGAGGGAGCCTTGCAGTGGGCGGACCGATGGACCCTGGGTCTGACCCATTGGCCAGGCCATCTGATGACATCACAGAACAGCTGGTTGTCGAGTAATCTACTGTTCCCAGGGAAACACTCTGGAGGTCCTCATACCTAATAAAAGAAAAAAAAAACTTAAATTAAAAGTTTCTAAAATGCTGATGCAGACAGGAACCTCATTTGGTCCTGAACAGATTATTTAACTGTAGTGTGGGTCAGAGGGTGTAAATAAAAGATGAGACTGAAAAGAAGAAGGGTAGCCCTAAAACAAACACTGTTATGTTGTTTGTTTGACTAATTATGTGTATAGTTTACAAAATAAACATGAAATTACATCAAGTAAGAGTTAGAAATGAAAATGTTAACTGAGGTCATAACTCAAGTGAGACACAGTTATATGAGTAAATGAAAAAGAAATAAGATTTATGTCAAGCAGTAGCTTAGAAATTAAGTGTTTTTGCCAACATTTGTATGAGCCCATCACTTACTTATGGCCTTTTTTAATCAAAAAACACAACAGAGTTATTCCAAAATACAGATTTCAAAACTCATGTGTGATGTCATGGTGATTTCGATATGACCAAAATCTTATATCTCAATACTGATATAAGTCATTTTTTTATCCCGATAAAGATATATAACAATATAGTGGATTTTCTGTAATCACTACATCAAAAGTACTAATGGTCATTAGAAACTACCCTGTCTGTAAACATCGAGTGTCCAGTCTCATAAAGTGCACCGTTAAACTCATACAGACATGCATGGTTCAACTCGTCCACGTATCTGTTGTTGCAGTGTTGTATGCTACGTTCTGGATTTCCTGCAATACTTTGGACTCATGATAAATGAGGCAAATATACTTGTTTTTGGCTGAGAGTTGCGTACCTGGAGTCAAGTGTTTTGACCAACACATGAAACCATAACTTTACTATATATTAATAGATATTGTGAGTCTTTATTATATAGCGTGCCATGTGGAAAAACCTGTTGTAACATTTGAGAGTGAGGTCTATTTTGAGCACCTGACAGCTTGTTTTTTTCTTCTCATTTGTAAAATCTTTCGACCAGTTTGCTTCATAACCGGCACATTACAGTTTTCTACACCGTGTCAGGCTTTTCATAACCGAATCATGTCCATGACACAGAGGTAGCCCCTTATTTAAGAAAACAAATAAGAATAACTTAGATATCATTTATGTGTCTGACACAGCTCATTTGCAATGATTTTCTTGTTATGATGAAATAAGTTCTTCGATTAGTTTTGGCTGGTCCTTCTGTGGTGCCTCAGTGACTACTACAAACTGTCATCTGAAGCAATGAAAAATTGCAGTAAACAGTGTGTTTTTGTAGGGAAATCGTAAGTACAGTGAATTGTGGCGATATGACCCAAAATTCATATCTCGATATTTTTTAGCTGGATGGCGATATAAGATATATATCTCGATATTTTTTTAAAGCCATAAAGTAAGAACAAAAAGAGAGTTCTTAGTCAAAGCTGTGTCCCAGATGTCACACAGGCACTTTTATTAACATACAGCAGATGTACATGAAAAAAATTTACTCAAAAATAAATTATGAGCATTTATTAAATAATAATGCTCCATAAATAAAAGAAAACAATGTTGTTTTTGTGCATAACAAAAAGCTCACAATTGTGCAGTCAAAATGTAAACTAAAAGACGCTGAGCATAATAACAAAGACAGATTTCACAGCTGCTCTGTTCCCAACTTCTACTGCGTGACTGACAGCCTGGAGTTTGAAATCCTCTTTGTAACCATGTCTCTTAACAGGTGCCATTTATGGTCCTTATACACACACAATACGGTAATATTACGTTGAAGCACTACGTATCACTCCGTGAGGCTCCTCGGTAGCCGTAATGCTCCGACAATCCATCAAACGCTGCAGCTTCGTAGCTTACCAAAGTTGTACTAAAACATTTTTTGACAGATTGCTGAGCACCGTGTAGCACATAAAATCGGTTCGCGGTCAATAAGCACAACCAGAATTCATACATAAGGCGCACTGTCGATTTTTGAGAAAATGAAAGGATTTTAGGTCATGCAGCCCCTGTGGGCTGCATGTCGTTAGCGCGGTTAGCTCGTTAGCGCAGTTAGCTTGTTAGCGCGGTTAGCTCGCTAACACATTGACGCCGTCCAGCCCCACGCACGGGGCGATCTGCGGTAAATCGTTAACGGAGATTTGCCGTGTTCATCTTGTCATTGCCTGCAGGTGAAGCTATGGGGGTGGAGGGGGAGTTGTGTTCAGTGAAAGAGAGGCGAGGCCGAGTAACGTTGCGTAGAGACAAAAGTGGACAAAAGAGAGGCAAACTTGCGGCTCCACAAGTATAATTATAACGTAACATAGACTATATCGATATAAACAATATTGTCACATCTTATATCTCGTATGAAAATATATCGATATTTTTAAAAAACTCGATATAGCCCTATGTTTTTGCAACAACACAAAATAAATGAAGAGTACAACATGAAACAATATACGTGTTAATGTCACGATTTTGTCATATCGCACAGCCCTAGTGGCTACATCCAATCTGATCCCCCTTCAGGCCATTATAAAGAATACAGGTGCAAGCAACTTCACCTTTTGCGTCAATATTTAGGTTCATCTTTTATATACAGTTGCTATACTGCACAATATGAACAGAATGCAGCTAAATAAATGATGAACTATTTGTTTATTAATATAATACAAACATATATGCTTTTGAGCAGCACTTAAAAAAGCACTTTGCACATAAATTCTATAGCAAATTGAATTTAATTAATTAATTAAACAAAGTTTAAACAGCCAAAACCAAGAAGGAGCACAACAGTGGAGCCGGGTTTTATGATTCTTTTAGATCTAATCTTATTTTATTTTCATTAATCACTCATTAATGATGGGTGTTCCCATTTGTTTAGTTTTTCAGTGCAAAGAAAAAATAAAGACCCAGGTCATTTTTTGTCTTTCTTTTTTCTCTCTTTTATCATTTCCCATTTATACTCACATATCCTCTCACACCCTTCGCTTCCTGAGCTTGTGTATTTCCTCCTGCCAGAGTGATTACTTGCTCTTTAATCTGCCACCTTTATCTTGCGTCCTTCCTTCACTGTGTCTGCCACTCTCTATGTACCAGACTCTGTCCTTTCTTGCTGTAAGATGTTTTTCACTCTGTTTATTCTGTGTAACAAATTTTTTTGCAAAGCAAAGACTTCCTTTTTTGTTCTTGAACTTCCTTGCCCTGTGCTTTGCTTTTGAAGCCTTAAATTAACGCCATATTCAAAACTGAATGATCCATAGCTCATTCTACCTGAACCTATACCAGCCATTTGGTTAATATCAGCATGTGGATAAGCAGCAAGTGCAAACGCTGAATTTCCTCATCTCATTAGGAAGTTTATCCTAACTGTACCTTTTATCATGTAGGAAATCTCAACAAAAGAATGCTGTATGGAGATTTTTAAAAGGCATTGCACTTATCAAAAATGATGTATTTTACTGAAACCTGTGTACTTGTTTAGATCTGTTTACTGTGAATGACTTATATAAGAGTACAATGTAAAATCACCAGGTTAACCAGCCTCTTACCTTTTCCTACTGTAAGTTCTCTTCATCTTTACTCCGTCTTCAGTTTGGGACTCATCCTCCTAAAACAGTCGATGAGAAAACTGTGAAGCAGAGATCCAGCTGTGCGCATGAAGTTAACTGATTTTTTATTACCACACTTGAAAATGGAAACACAGTCACAGCGTTCATGCTAGCAGGACTGCCTGCTCCTTACATACACTATCTCAGAAACAATAAAAGACGTAGGTTTTTACATTAGATGTGTATTCTTACCTCTGAGTACCCAACTGTATTTACTTCACAGGCTCTTTCTGGCATTCGCTGGACAGCAGCTTTAAAAGTGAAATGTATTAAAAAAGACACAATTAAAAAGATGAAATTACAAATCAAAATCAAATCAAATCACTTTTATTGTCACATCACATGTGCAGGTACATTGGTACAGCACATGTGAGTGAAATGAAATATTTTGTCTTTGAAGAAACTACTAATACATTTATTATTGCATTTTTATCAAACAACTGACATTGTCCTAGCAATAAATTAGAAAGCACTGATGAGAAATTATTGTACATCTTAAAGTTTTTAATCAAATGAAGCAGAGGCAGCGGGATCAGTTTACAAATTAGATACAACAAATTTTATCTTTCAAAAAAAAATAGATGTATCATCTGCAAATTGACTTATTTTGAAGTCTTTATTAAAAATTGATATTCCTTGTATGTCGTTAGAATTCTTGATTAATAGTTTTAACAGTTGAGTTGCCAATATAAAAAGCTTAGGGGAAATAGGACATCCTTGCCGAATTCCGCGTTGCACCTTGAATTCATTCCTGGATTCAAGGAAGCTAATATAAAGTTAAGTAATGCAGCTTCTTCACTTAGGCTACTAGCACAGCGGTCCCCAACCCCGGTCC